CAAAGACTTGGCTTAGGACCGGACCACGGGACGTGGTCTTCGCAACATCTGTGCTCTTCACTGGGAAGTTGCTGAAATAGTCGCAGTAGAACACGTAGGTTTCATCTACAAGGAGCTTGTCTGAAGTCTTCGCAGCTTGTGGGAGTCTTGAAAGGCAATCGGCGTTGGCGTTGTCCTTAGACGAACGATAAACGATGTTTTATCGATGTCCTGCCAGTCTGCAAGCCCATCTCTGAAGGGGTGCTGCCGTCATCGTCGGAACTCCTGTCGTAGGTCCCAAAATCTTTTGAAGTGAAGCATGGTCAGTTAATAATGTAAAGGGGTACCCATACAGATAGTAATGGAACATTTGTACACCAAAAACAATGGCAAGTGCCTCTTTTTCAAGCTGCGAGTAGTTCTCCTCGTGCGAAGACAGTGTTCGTGAGACGAACGATACGGGTCTTTCTGTCCCTTCTTTCATGATGTGGGACAACACCGCTCCTACACCAAACGCTGAGGCGTCGCATGCCAACACGATCGGAAGAGTAGGGTCGAAGTAAATGAGCACTGGTGCTGACGTCACCTTCTCTTTCAGAATCTTGAAGGCCTCCCTACATTCTTCGTTCCAACTCCACTGGACATCCTTGTGCAGCACGCAATTCAGAGGACTCAAGATGGTTGCCAAGTTTGGGATGAACTTCCCATAGTAGTTTGCTAACCCCAAAAAGGAGCGCAACTCTGCTTCGTTCTTTGGCTCGGGTGCATCTCGTAGAGCAGCCACCTTGTCATCCAGTGTCCGTAGTCCCTCGCTGCTGATGACACGGCCTAGGTAGGACACCTCCTTTTTGAAAAACTCGCACTTCTCCTTTTGAAGTCGGATGCCATTCTTTTTAAGGTGTATGAGAACCTCCTTCAGGTTCTTCAGGTGCTCCGCTTTTTTTCTTCCTGTTACCAGGATATCATCAATGTAACAGGTGGTGCACGCCAGGCCTTGTAGTACCTGATCCATCGTTCGTTGAAATATTGTTGGAGCTGAGGCTACGCCAAAAGGAAGCCTGTTAACTTGAAAAAACCCCAAATGCGTGTTCAAGGTTAAGTACTTCTTTGAATCTTCGTGCATTTGAACTTGTAAGTACGCTTTGGCTAGGTCAAGTTTAGTGAATAGCTGACCTCCCGCCAGCGTTTCAAACGGCTCTTCGATTCTGGGCCAAGGATAACTGTCCACATCGATCACGGGATTCATGGTGGACTTGTAATCCCCGCAGATCCTGATCTCGCCGCTCTTCTTGACGACTGGAAGAATTGGAGAAGCAAGCTCACTTGTTTCTACCGAAGTCAATATGCCTCTTTCTTGTAAAGCCAGCAGCTCCTTGGCCACAGCATCCCTTAATGCGTGCGGTACTGGCCTCGCCTTTTGAAATTGTGGAGACATTCCGTGTTTCAGTTTGAATTTTGCTTCAACCCCTTTTATGAATACCAGCTCATCTGAGAATATTTCTTTATATTCATTCATCAGACCTTCAATCTCTTACCTTCCTATTTCTTCGGAGCAATGTATTGCTTTGATGTTTGCCCAGTCCAACTTTATGACTTTTAGCCAGTCACGTCTAAGAAGACGACCATTTGCATCTTCAGGTTGGACTCCTTGTCTTCATGCATCACCGTCACTTGTACTTAAGCCAGCGGCTTAATCTTCACTCCGTTAAATGCCTTCAAGACGTCATTACTCCGTTGCTTTTTCAAGTGCGGAAACTTAGCCTGGTACTCTTGCAATGGCAAAACCGATATGTTTGCTCCTGTGTCTATTTCGATTCTTATAAGAATTCCACTCATGGATAGCGTTATTTCTTACAGATCGTTTCGCGCACTTCTCAGCTCGTGCATTTCTTTCTTCGTCAGAATATTCCACAGTTACAGCTTTCATCTTTTTCTTTTCGTTACGCTTACTGAAGGGTTTAGACACTTGTCCTTCCTACTGTGGAGCTGAGCCTTTACAAACTCTTTGCAGGTGCCCTACTTTTCCGCATCTTCTGCATTCCAGGCCCTTCCAGCGGCAAATGACTGAGTCGTGATTCTTGTAACCACAATGTGAACAACCTTCTCTTTCTAAAAGTTTGCTTCCCACCTTAAGAACTTCTGCGCTGGACGACCCTGCGTCGTGTAGACTTTTCGCACTGGAGAATGCGGCTTGCATTGCTACCGCCATTTCAAGCGCTCTCTTGAAAGTCAAACCCTCTTCTGAAAGCAGCCTTTTTTGTATGCTGTCATTGCATAAGCCGCATTGAAAGCGGTCTCGAAAAGTTTCACTCAGCGCTGTTCCAAATTCGCAGGTTTGAGTGCTGCGACATACTCAAGGATGGTTTCGCTGTCCTTCTGGTCCGTCTTGTTAAAGCGGAAGCGTTCAGCAATCACAATTGGCTTCGGTGACAGATGCACCCGGAGCATCTCGACAAGTTCCAAATAGGTCTTACTTGATGGGGCTTCCGGCGCTACGAGGCTCCTGAGTAGCGCCTTGGTCCTTGCGCCGATGATGCTCAGGAATGCCGCCACTCGTCTCGGTTCCTTCACGTCGTTGGCAATAAAGAATTGGTCGATTCTTTTTTTTTTTTTGGCACACGTTGGCCAGTCTTTTTCCGCTTCATCGAAGGGCTCGATGCTTCCAAGCGTTGACATGGCTCTTGTCGTAGCCCTGAGCGGCTTCCTTGAAGTCAGTCTTAGACAGAGTACCTCGTCGCCAGTTTGTTATGTTAGGACGTCAATGATTGAGACCAGAACCATGCCCATTCCATAAGCGTTGTGCCCCGAGATGCTGTCTCGATCTCACGAGCTTTCCCAACACTTCTTTTTTAGTTACCAGTGCGTATATCAGGAACATCACAAATGCCGTCCATGGCACCTCTCGGACACCGTGTCTTACGTTATGTGGGGTCAGCGGTCTTCGTACAGTTCTTCTCATTGTTGCCGGTAAAGCAGCTACTGATAGTGGGGTTTCCAGGGCGTCAACTTTGAAATGCACTTTGTTCACATAAGGTTTGCATTTTGGGAAACTTTTATACATATACCTTGTAGTCGTTATTGTACGAATGAAACTTTATAAAATTCTATGAAAATTTTGGCAGGGTTCTCTTTATGGTGCCTGACTTACAACAAGGCTGTCCAACTTGATAAACTTTACTGGTGGGAAACTTATTTTCATATAAGAATGGTTAACTTCTTCACAGTGCTGTATGTATGCAACAGACTCCAGATGTGTTCAATAAAAGTAGCGTTTCCTAATATTGTGTTCTCTGTGTATCTGATGAACTAGGTTGCATTTGTTTTGAACGCTTGCAACATTTAGGCTATACAAAATACAGTCTAAATTCTACGAGCATTCAAAACCAGTGCAACTTAAATCCGACAAGCATATCGAAAAAGAAGTGCCCGGTTCGAATAAAAATATTTCAGAAAATACACTAAAATAAATTGCTACTTGGGGTTGTAAAAATGGTACTTTAAAGTCGACTATCATCATTTCAAACTCCAGGAAGCCACAGATTTTAGTTTGAAATATCACAAGACTGAATTAAAGAAAAATATATACTTGATTAATAAAACTTAAAGTCAACATTTGATGCCGCGAACTTGTGCCGAGAAACAGAAAGTAACAAAGACCTTTGACAGTGATGGAAGGACAACTGCCTCAAGCAGCCATTCGAAGCTATTCTGTAAGTGCGTGGGTATCTAAAAGTTTCGGAGCTCGAAGAAAAAAAATTCTCGAGTCATCTTATTCCAGTCACGCAAACGAAAGGAAGACAAAAAATGTTCAGCCTTTCCACTCTCGTGAAGAACAAAGACCAGCGGAGCTGTACTCGATTCACTGCCGCAACGCGCACGCGCCCGTTTCCCGCTTTTTCTCGTCCGACACGCCGCCGATCGTGGATACGTCTCCGGCGACCCAGAGTCTGTCGTACACGGCGCACGTGACGCCAAACGTGTAATCCACAAACTCCCTCCGAAATATCGCCGTCGCGCCCGGGAACTGTTCAGCCGGCGTGGAGTGCAGTCGTCGCCGAGCCTCGCGCTTGCGCTTGACGTCCGTGGCACGATCGTCGTCCGTGGCTTTCCAGGCGAGCTATGTGCTCTTCTTTGGCAAGGGAATCTGAAGCGCTCGACATAGTGGAAGCCAAGGCGACAGCGGCTTTGCGGCGATTACGGACCCATTCGCGCTGCTGCGTGCGTCGCTGCTCCTTCCGCAGCCAGTCTTCTTTACCCGAAAGGGCACGCGGCCGACCCATCCTAAGTCCAAACCGAACCTGATAAGAGCGTATGAAACAGCGCGCAACACAGACGAGGACGAACAAACACACGTAACGAGCACTGCGCTCGTTACGTGTGTTTCTTCTTTGTCATCGTCTGTTTTTCGCGCTGTTTCCTACGACGAATTCCTACCAACGCGCCGCCCAACTATCCATTCTTCTATGATAGCTGAAAAGATTGGCGCCATCTACGAGCGACGGCGGCAACCATAGTGGTTGTGTGCTTGCCGCCGTCGCCTATAGATGGCGGTAGCTGTCCAGAGGCGTTTCTGTCGACAAGTGTTTTATACCGGACACGATACTCGGGAACCTAGCCCTTAACATCTCCGCTGTAAAAAGGACAAGTGCTTGTGGGGATCAAACCCCAGACAGCACCATGGGAGTCGATCACGCTGCTGACTCGGCTATTTGCACGTGGCATTACTCCCCTCTTGTTAAAGACGCTTTGTCTCTACGCAACACAAAATGAAATTAACAGCTCAAACAAGAGAAGGTCAGTCTACAGGGTCACTTAAAACAGATTTTCGCAGTCCTATCGAGCATACCTAGTTAAGTTGAGTCGGACGACGTGAATCGCCTTTGGGTCGCAGAGGGTGGCGTGACAATGTTCATGTGCCATCGGACAACGACTTACAGTTAAGGTCTCATGTAGCAAATAACCTCGAGGCCGAAGCAGCACTTTAACAGTTCCTTGCTGCGACGATGAATTGGTGTTGAGATTCACACTTGGTAGCCAGGCTGGAACTGGGCGTCGTGGCGACAAAGATTGCAGCAGACTTCCTTTGTTCGTTGAGTGACGAACCAAGCGTCGTCGTCCTGTTCGTCTTCGTGTTCGATACCATACTTGTCGTAGGTATCGTCATCGGGTTCGTCATGGTTGTCGTTGAAGTCGTCGTCCTTGGGTCGCCCTGGAAGCCGTAGTCGGGATCGTCTTCCATGTCATTGTTCGAGTAGCCGCCTATGTTATCGTCATTGACATCATCAGTCTCGTCATCAAGGTCGACAACACTGTTTGTCGTCGAGGCCATAGTCAGGTTGGTTGTTGACATTGTAGCCGGCGTTGGTCTTTGGAGTTGTCTTCCGTTTCATCATCGGCATAAAAGTCGTCATCATGTTTTTGTCGCGTTCATTGTCCGGGTCGTTTTCGAGGCCATAGTTGAGGTCGTCGTTGATGTCACAGTTGGAGTCGTCCTCGAATGATTTCGAGGAGATCGCCTTCACGATCGTCGTCTTCAGAGTTATTGTGTTCACAAGTGGTACGCTTCATGGGCATAGATTGCGTTACCACCAATATGTCATGAATGAAAAACAAACTTGATTAATAAAATTTAGTCAACATTTAATGCCACGAACTTGTGCCAAGAAACATAAAGTAGCAAAGATGCACATATTTTGACGTCGACGGAAGGACGACTGGTTAAAGGAGCCATGCGAAACTCCTTTTGTAAGCGCGTAGGGTATCTAGAAGTTTCCGAGCTCAAACAAACAAGATTCTCGAGTCATTTGAAACATTCCAGGCATGCAAACAAAAGAAAGATAAAAAATACAAGCGCTGGCGGGGACCAAACCCCAGCCTGCGGTGTGGGAGTCGAGCACACTGCTGACTCGGCTATTCGCATATGGCAATATGACTTGAGACGAAATACCAATTCACTATAGGGATAGATACTCATACCAAGCAGATTTCTTACACTTTCCTCTACACAAGCCTATTTATTCGCCAGGCACACGCATAAACTATAGGTAAAGTTCGAAGCAAATAATAGTTTTGGCCAAATATTTTCTAATCAAATTTCGAATAGCTCCTCCAAGCCTTTTACTACCATTGTACCATGCCTAAATGAAAATTCAGCTGAACTCGTGAAGGTTGTTCCCAACCCTCCACTTGTGCACTTCTAAGTTCAGTTAGTTTTAATATAACTATATCTATGAACTGTGGCCTCAGAAAGTCCAATGCCTTCATTGTGGTGGCATGTAAATGACAGATTTGACATTACATTAAACCTAAAAAGACACCCGGTTATCCTAATCGAAATAATTTATATATCTGCTTGCTATAAGCAAATATCTTTCCTTTAATCTTGAAGTTAACCCGCTCAGAAAAATTAAAAAAAAACAAGCAGGAATAACGAAAGCAGGTTGTCAGGACAGTACTGCTTGAATAACCATGGTGGGTTAGACTGGGTTAGTCCCATCGAGTGCGCTTTTCACCGAGCACCCGCATACTGCGAAAAAGCAATACCCTCGAGCTTTGCGGGTACTGCTTTTTCGCGGTACACAGGTGCTTAGTGGGAAGCGCACTCAGCAGGGCTAACCTGCCGCGATGAAAAAAAAGTGAAGTAACCAAAAACGATGTTCGAATTAAGCAGCTTATAAATGCATTAAAAACATAGCCGGGCTACCAAAAATTTAGAAATTCGTTTGAATGGGCCGGAAGTATGAAATAACCGAGTTTGAATTATCGCAAATCCACCGTAATAGCATTGACTACTCATCTGGCTTGTGTACTCGCCACCACACTACAATATTTGTATCAATTGCGTTTTATTGTAATTTTGTTGCCCTTCAGTTAATTGCTGTGAGCAGTAATCAATCTAGTAATCAATTTCATTTTCTAAGCCTGAGGTAATGATCCTAGTAATCAGTTACTTTTTTTAAGCCCGCGGTAAACTAAAAACAAAATTTGCTCTACAAGATTCACCCACCTGCCTGGCAATCTCAACCACGCAGAGAACGTTCTTCGTTTCTCGAGCTCGGGACCGGTACGATCTGGCTGTACGCGGCGTTAGTAATAAGCTTAAGGTTCGGGAAGATACAGCAGACAACAGGAGAGGTGGCTTCTTTCCTGTGCTCAGTGTATGGGAAACAAGCTTCTGGGCAAAAGTATGCCAAAGAGTGTTTCACCGGTGAACAGAATTCTAAACACAGTTTCGTCAAATGCTCACTTATCCCTTGAAAAAGTGTATTGTGGTTTGGAAAAAAAAATTCTGTCGAGGAAAGAACTTTTTTTTTTTTATCTGGCAAGAAGCCGGTCTTCAATAACACTGCCACTAGATCCTGTCCAAAGTCAATGCCTCTGTCTGTGAGCACCGTGGTCTTGATCGCCCTTACTATTCACTGTGGAACTGAGCCATCTAGGTTTAATTCAGCTCAGTGCTTTAAAGCTTCATATCGTGAGCCTGCAGGTTATCAACACTAATACTGGATGCAGTTTCGAGTAGCATCTGTAACCAGTATGAGATTAAATTGCAGCTACATACATGAATGAACGCTACTCTGTACTTCTAGAAGGTTCGCGTTTACTCTTACATCAGAGGATTAAAATCATTTGGAGTAAGAGTAAGCGTCTATCTTCCAGAAGTATTGAGTATTGTTCGTCCATGCATGCGGCAATGTCTCGTTCATCTAGGGTCAGTTTCTTGTTTTGGTATGTTTACATGGCTTCTTTCAACCATAACTCTTTGATATCAAAGCTGTACTTGAAGCGCACTTCATAAGAAACAAGAAACAGGTGGTATTTTTTGATTTCAGATGATAAAACATGACACAACGATGAGAATTTTGCCGATTTCTGCGACGCAACCTAAACCATAGGTGGTACGGTTCGACAGGGTACCCAAATTCACAAGATATTCTAAATTTTCCTAACAGATCATGCCCACACGACTTAAGGTGTTTATTACACTGGGTGTTTTAACAGACTAGACCAACAATAAAGCGCCTAGCCTCATAGAGGTTTGAGGTAATATTTCCAGTGCTCACTCCTTTGGCCTCTGTTAGTGTTGACTTGGTTGCATCAGTACTTCCAACTTTTGTGAATTAGGAAGACATTGTTGGGGAAGAATAGCATCCTATATGGGAGCTTGTTCCTCTTGTACCATTCCGCTTTCAATAGGGCATCCGAGCATATGAAACAGATAATACAGCGGAAGTTGAAGATGGCTAGATTAATTAAGTGACTTACATTCACAAATAGCCAGAATGTTGCTGTCGTACTAAACAATGCCAAATTAAATTATTAGCTGTGTTCCTGCTGAAGTTTCATTGGTGTGAAAACTCAAGACTGCGCTGGGCGTGCTGCAGCCAGATTTTTAACCACAGCGAGTCTAAAGCAGCTTTATCACGACATGCGGAGAAACAGAAGGTTTGCCAGAAATGTTCGACTTAACCCCAGAGAGGCGCCGGCTGCTGTATTGTTCGACCAGGAGTTTGCGGTGCTAGTGTGACTGCTGTATGGCCGCTTGTAGGTGTGGCATCAGGGTCGCATCTGCATAGCCTGAGGCGTCCCAGCTCACACTGTCACCTAGGATTCTCTTTTATGACTTTCAAAGTATGCATATACTTTGCTTACTTATAATTTGGCAATGTGATGGAAGTTTCACATCCTTAGATCAGTTGAGCGTTTCTCTTTCACCACGTAATCGCGCTTCTGTCTACGCACCCACGCAGGGAGCACGTTTTCACATGACGGAATAGGCTTGTGACTATTCCAACGAATGCGTAACTTCCACTGCACTGTCGGCTGAGGGGTGAACTAAGTACTGGCAATTTTCACCACATGTTTTCTAACCTACTTTCACGGCTTTGTTTTGAGACCGCCAAGTGCTGTGAATATTTGATTTGCTCGAGAGGGCTAGTGAGCGAACTTGCCGCCACAGCTTTCTGTTCCAGCCACTAGGTGTCGTCAATTTTTTAGCTGGAGTCGCCAACTGTGTCGGCGTTCCTGCAATAGATACCAACGAAGCCGTCGTTGACGCTAAAGCTGCTAGAACTGCGATTCAACAGCAGTTGCTGATGCGGGCAACAATTTCACAGCAGATTCTGGTGGTGACAGGCAGTATTGCAGAATGAGCACCCCCATTTTATCCAACTCCATTCCAGAGAATTGTATTTTCTAATACTAATTACATTCCTTTGAACTTCTGGAAAGGAAACACTGGGCCCATCCACACTCCTGGAATGGCTGAACTGTTCCATTCCGTTCCTCTCAATTCCTCTCAACCACGAAAAATGGCACTTGACAGCTAGTACTAAGTTACCAGAAAATAACGCCAGGATAAAGCTGGCGTTGACAAACGCGTAGACAACTGCAAAATTATGCAAAATACAATCCGTAATCATTGATTCTACCAAGTTGAGCGGTGGTCGCACATAGCGCTAGTGGCAATTGGTATAGTAGCACTGCAGATATCGATTGCACCACCAATCTAAAAGCTTCATAACCGACAGCAAAACATTAACTGATCCATCTTCTCCACAAAAGAACCGTATGTGTCCTCCACTTCTAGGAGATGCATGGTAAGTGAAGAGTCACGTGCATTAACAAAATGCGGGCAGTGCGACATTGTCGCTGCTGGTGGCCTGCGACTGGTGCTGTAATCACACATGGTCCCAACAGCCATATTGTCGCGTCTTACGGTGCCAGGAACGACACCTAGTCCGCCTACAACTCTACAGTTTGGGTTGCTTCACTGGGGTTGCCACTTTCATCCTCGAAGGAACATAAGCTACACAAATAACCGAGCCATCAAATACCTAAGTGAAATGATACCGTTTCAGAAGCCCCTTAGACCGCATCGACGCAGCTCGCATTAGAACAGAGCCTATTCCATTCCTACTCTATTTTGGGAAAAATGCACCTACTAATTCCATTCCCATTCCATTCCAGTGCTGCTGCCATTTTATTTGCATTCAATTTCAGGGTCGTGGAAGTGCGGAATCGTTTCAACTCTGGAGTGGCAACTTCACAACAATTGTGACGGTCCCCAAGGCGCCCAGTTCAGTGCGAATACTGTCCTCACAGCCCATCCAAAGCTGTTATCACAGCAACAGACTCCAGTACGACGAAGTAGTTGGATCCGGAAGTCTGTTGTGCAGATTTCTACCATGCGTTGTTTCCGGTATTTTT